ACCACTAGAGGGAGACCCCGTACCACCAGTAGGGATGCACTGTTCTAATTGATTCCTTCGCACCTCACCTGTTTATTGGGTTGGGTCACATGACGTTTGCAATGTGAGGCCAAGAGCACTATGATGTCAATTTCGGGAGACAGCAGAGGGCGGCAGAGGACAAAATGGCATGAAATTCTTCCATCCATTATCTGATCCGCTTCATCCTCACGAGGTTCGCGGGCGTGCCGGAGCCTATCCTAGCTGTCTTCGGCCAGTAGGCGGGGGTGAATTTAATATGCGCAAACATCAAAAGGACAAGGCGAGTACGATCTTAGTAGCCCAATAATGCGCGCATGTAAACAGAATTACGTGCACACAAAAGATAATACATTCTCGGGCATCTGGCCAAGTCACGATTTATCGTCACTGATGCGAGCGACAATAGATGTTGATCATTAGTTATGAATAACGCAGCCTGCCTATTTACGCAATCTGTCAACAGGCTCCACGATGCAATCAAGGGAGCGCGGCACACAGGAAAGACGAGCCATATTGTTCGCAAACGATGCATGGCACTGCATGGACTGCAAGACGCGGCCCTTCAGCCTGAAAGCGCTGGGATGGGGCTCATTGATGAGACGTTTGATCACGGGGCAAAAAAGGCCAGCTCGAGTGATGGATAACCTCTTTTATGAGCGGTAATACAGACGGTATTACGTGGGCATCGCCAAAGCTCCATCTCCATGACATTTGCTCCAGCCAGGCCGTTAAAAAAAAGTGAATAGAAGAGAGAGTTTGTGTAATAACATCCTTATGTTTGTGTGTTTGAATATTATGCGTCCATAAAGCATGTCTCAATGTCTTCACGGCGATGGCAGCGCAGACGACAGCCCCAGTGCAGAGGTACAGGGTTCAATTCCAGCACCGACCTCCCTGTGTGGAGTTTGCATATTCTCCCCGTACCCGTGTGGCTTTTCTCCGGGTACTCCGGTTTCCTCCCACATTCCAAAAACATGCATGGCAGGCTGACTGAACAATCAAAATTGTCCCTCGGGTTGAGCGCGGATGGTTGTTCGTCTCTGTGTGCCCTGCGATTGGCTGGCAACCGGTTCAGGGTGTGCCCCGCCTACTGCCCGGAGACGGCTGGGATAGGCTCCAGCACCCTCGCGACCCTTGTGAGGATAAAGCGGATCGGAAAATGGATGGATGGGTGGATGCTTCCTAGAATTTTATGATGTTGTCAACGTGAACACTTAAAAAAAGCCTCATGCAAAAGTGTTTGGTTACGTTAACAACTCCAAACAAATTGCTATCAGGCTTCTGCAGAGCTTGCTGATGCGCTGATCAGTTTGAGACCTCTGGATCGGCAAGGCCAAATAGAATGCAAAATATTGCCGCAGCATAGGAATGATGTCATTGCCACCGCCCTACTTCAATCACATTCTGTCATTAAGGTGACGACCGAGTAGTTGATTTGAAACGTCAGATGCTGCCCACCATATAAAAAGAAATAGTTAGGATTCCAACAGCACCGTCAGCAAGTACAACTCCGTACGGTCGTCGGGTCATAAATTGACAATGTTGTGACGTTATCACCCGGTGAGATGACATCAATGTCCGCCCACGGGCACCGCGCTATAGCTATATCATTTTATTTGCGCATGCATATTCCTCGGCCTGCCCTGCTTACGGTGAGGAATTCCCTTTTATCAGCACAGTGCAGAAGGATACACCCAGAGTCGCGCGGCGGTAAATGACATGAAAATTGCTTTTGAGGCTGAAGTACAGACGCAATTAAAAAGTGATGGCAAATGTAATTCTGATGAAAATGATCACTGCGGTTAAAAAAAAAAAAAAAAACGTAGGCAGTGGAAATTGCGCAAGGACAAAGGAGATTTAACACTTGTTTACTTACTCACTGCCTCATTAGCGAGTGTTTAAAGACGAAATGGCATTAAAAAGCCATTAAAACGCAAAAGTACAAGCAGAGCTGCTGCAAAGCGTGAGTAAAAGCCTACCTGCCACGTCAATCGGACACAGACTTAATTTTAAACGCTGCGTTTTGGATTAAATATTGAATGGCTCGTAATATTCGCTCTCTGTTGTGGCCAGACAGAATCCCCACCGGCTTTGTCAATGACAACAAATCAGAAACATTACAAGGGAAACATCACAAGCCCCGCTGCGCAATTTTTTTGGGCGAGTAATGGACTGAACAAAATGAACTTTTTTATCCCCAAATTACCCCCATGGTGACATCGCGATTTCTATGAATCACAAAGACGTCGGGCATGCGTCCGCTAAATGAAATTAGGCATAAAAAAAAATAATAATAAAGGGAACGGAATCAAGAGAACATTTTGTGGGTTTAAAAATGTAACCAATGAAAAGTTTTTTTCCCCAGATAAAAATATGAAACATTTTGTGAAGATAAAAATGTAACTTTGAAAATATTTTTAAGATAGAAAATGATTTTTTTTTTCAATATTTAATATGAAATACATAGAGTGGCTGTTACTTGGAGGAACCTTGGACGTTAAAGCACAATTATATCAGGATTATTTGTATACAACATCAGCACCGTGAACTTTTTCTTGTGGTTTAAAATGTAATGTAGTGTAGCACTGCCAACAGAATATTTCCTTAGTAATTAATTCAAATGGTTGGCCAAAATTCAACTGTAAGAAAATCGGTTGATGGCTAAAAATTGCCGGATTTGGCTGCTCTATTCATAATCCACAAACACAACATTAACCAGAGTGCCGTGTTTCAATTTGGGGCAGCGCATCGAACATGTTATTGAGTTGACTTCCCCTTTAAATATACATTATGCGCATTTCTAGGTCAAATAATATTCAACATTCCCCCCCTGAGGTGTTCTTGGTTTTTCGAGCTACATGGCGGGCTCTCTCGCCCAAAGTCATTTTCATTTTACTGCTTATGAGGCAATAGATAGTACATACACCGTTGATGACTTTGCCCTCCCTTCTCACATTGCATATTCCTAACTTTGTGACCCTTTTTACTCTTACTGTCAGTCCATGACTGTTTTAATTTATGCCCGGGCTTTAAAAAAATCGTTATTGAGCAATTGAGAGGCCAAGTGGTGCAAGCAATAACATGAATAATCCATTAGCTGTTCCTGTAAGACTCAACGAGAATGAGACCTCAATCAGCATCAGACTCAGGGGGAGTGTAACCAGGCGGTGGCAGCATTCGCTTCCCCCTCCAAACTCAACCAGGTTTACGCTGAGACCGTTCTCATCCATCTTGCTACAGGATATCTTTTTTTCCTGCATTGAAAAAAATCGCTTCATGTGAGACGCTAATGGACCTCCCGTGTGTTTTTCATCACTTGAATCCGTTCGGTCTTTATAAACTTTGCCTCGGCAAAGTTTAGGGTCCGGCTTATATAACTTCTGCATTCTTTACGCAACTCTTTCATAACTGTTTGTTATAGAAGATATCCCCCCCCCCCCACACACACACATACACAGCACACTTCCTTGCCAAAAGCTGAAATATTTAACAGCTTCTTAGAGGAGACGTGTTTGAAATGCATCGGGGGCGTTGATCCGAGGCGTGCGTTGGATGTCAATGCGCCCGTGCAAAATGCGGAGCCGGGGGCAACGGAAGCCGACATCAGCTGCCTTTTGAATCATCTTTCAGCAATTTCTCAAGTCGTTCCGCGTTGATTTCCTCTTGCCTAATTGCTGTTTCAAAGATGAGCGCCCCTCTTTATGTGGACACCACGTGTGTGCAGTTAATATTGCTTGTCAAAGACGACAAAGCATTCTAGAGATAACTACCAAACTGATAGTGATGCCAATAAAACACTCAGACTTTAATAGTGACTCAGGGATACAAAAAAAAAAAAAAGCAAAAACATAGCACGTCAATAGTACACCACACACCCACCCACACACACACACACACACACACACACACACACAAAAAAAAGTTTTACATTGACAAATATACGTTTCGTATAGCAACAGGCTAGTTTTAGCTAATGCTAGCTTTCCACTATGTTCCCGGCGGCCACGGCAGCGCTGTTGCGGGGCACCGTGGGGCAAAACTAGGGGACGGGATGAGCAAATGTGACAGGCCGTGGTGGCAGCGAAAACGTTTTAATTGTTCCAAAATTTGCCACGGCCGTCACAAACGCGGATGAGAAACCTAGTCGGCCCGTCATAAAACGGGAGCGAATGCAACGAAAACCTTACAGTAGGTAATGGGGCGTAACACAACTTGGAGGGAATGGAAGCACATTATTTTAATGCGAACATATCACATTCGCCTCCCATGCAGTCAATTTAATTTGGCTCGACGTTAAATGTGACGTTAACGTTGAAATGTGTGAGTGATAGAGAGATGTCATGTCATTTAATGGACATTTTCTCTGAATAACAGCCTCTTTTGCACGATTTGGTCGAAAAGGTGAATTAGCGAATTACTTCAAGCGTTTCTTAAGCGGCAGTACACGTGGCGGCTTCATTCGACTTTGCCAGATCAACAAACGCACTCCAACGCTGGCCAACATCCCCCATTTCATCCGCAGACAATTTGACAAAAACACGACAAACGTGAGGGATTCGATCAGAACGCCACAGGCCAGGAGAGTAAACCAGCTTGCCAAAACAAAGTGCGTCTTTAAAACCCGCGGGGATCAGCGGCAACGTTCCAACACGTCTCGTCACGGAGGGAAAACCGGCCAGAATCCCGAAGCGCGCTACGTTTCAGGCAGATGGGGCAGCTGTTGTGGCAGACGGTAACATAGTGTGAATGTAGCTTTGACAATACTCCACTTAAAAGTAAACAATCCAATCCAGTCACAATGGCAGGGATTTTAAATACTGTACATACCACACACACACACAAGGATTTTGTATTTCATAATGGTTCAACGCGACATAAAAGCAACCCTGTACCTCGGAACACATTCTCCCGTTAAATTTTAATGATTAAAAACAATGTTGGTGTGCCTTTAAAATTACAAGTAAAATAGTTTGATTTTGTTTTTTTAGCTGCATTCGCCTACATGTGGTCTGAAATAATGGTGGACCAGCCAGACATACTTTTTTTTTTTTAATTGATCAGCTAAGGCTCATTTCAAGACACGATGACATAATAGAGAAGCTATGTTGAGGATGTATCGTCGCCGTTTTCTCTTTGCAACACGGCGGCTTACAAAAGTTAATTTCAAAACAGTTTGCTCCTTATTTGCACTTAAAGGGAGCTTTGATGTATGCCCTAATGACTTTCTGAAAACCTGAGGCTAACCGTGCAAAGTGCCATGAATGGGATTATAAATCTTTCTTAAAAACAACCCGATTGGCTCAAAAGTGCTGCAAAATTAATCATCTCTGCAAAGTAAACTAGGTTTTCGACTGTGGTGTAAAAGAAAAAAAAAGAGAATTAACAGGGAGTAATGCTGGTCTTTTATATGAACCAGTGCTTGAAAACACATAAAAGATTAAGCAGGTTGCGCGGGACTACCAGCCCAATTTACGCAGTACAAAAGTTGTAAACAGGTAATAATTCAGTAGGCTTGAGCCTGTTTGTCATCCGGTTTATTGGGCCGCGCGTACCAAATGTTGTTTGAGGAAATCTCTTTGAAGAACAATGCAGAAGCTCCTTAAGAGGTCAAAAGGAGGCAAGTATTCAAGGAAACGCCTCATTGGAATGCTCGACGCCATCTTGTGTCTGTTCTTGCCTTTTAAGTCTTCATTTCCATAAGTCCTTCATTACAGACTTTACTAAATCTTGATACTGATATATTCCGCTGTCTCTCACTGTACACAATTGTGTTGCATAGCCTGGGAGCTCTTCTTACAACTCGCGACTCCCATTCATTCAGCAGCGACGTAACCCAGATTTGTGCTTCATTCAGAATAATTGCCAACAAATAATCCGTTTTGCTGTCAAACTGTTATTACCGTCATAAAGTCCTTATATGTGGAGGCGATGCTTTCAGTAACCGACGCAATTCACTTTTTTGTGGTCATTCGGTTGGTTTTGACAAAGGGTGACGAGTCGCAACGTATGTTGAGAACGGAGACGATTGACAACAATCTTACATAAATAACATTCAAGTGTGACCATAAGTCTTCATTCATTCAAGTAGTCTGACGGTTGTAAAAAAGGCCAACGCGGAGTGACAAAATTTGCCAGTGAACGTTATTGCTGAAGTAAACGGTGAAAATGAAAATGTCATCAAAATGAATGCATCTTTGGGTGCATTCTGAAGCGTAAACATTTCGGTGGGAGTATTTGATGCATTTAGGATTTTGCAAATAGCGTATTGTCCGCACTATAAGGCGCACCTTCAACGAATGGCATATTTCAAAACTGTTTTCATATACAGGGTGCAGCGCATTATAAGGCGCATAGAATGGGAGCTACAATAGGGGCTGCGGTTGCGTGACGCATCCACTAGATGGAGCGACGCTAATGGGAATACAATACAATACAGCTTTATTTATATAGCGCTTTGACAACCGCTGCAGTTGTAGCAAAGTGCTTTACAGAACATGTAAAATACTACAGCCAAGAAATTCGAATATTGATCCATATATAGGGCGCATCGGATTATAAACGCACTTTAAGCTTTTGAGAAAATTGAATGTTTTGCGCTGCGCCCTGTAGTGCAGAAAATATGTTACTTCGTTTGTTGGTATTAATAACTTCATTACTTGGTATTTTTCTGTCTGCTTTTTCGACAAGAGCGTTATTTCGACAAGTTTACCTTCATTTGCATTGATATCAGGTTGCATTGCTTTGTCATGCTGTTTTTCCCTTGGGTGGGTTTCAATCTCAGCTCCAGCCTTTCTATGTGGAGTTTGTATGTTCAACCCGTTGTCACTCCAATACACAACAGTGTCCTGCAACTTTCCTGACAGGCTATTTCTCATTCTGTTTACTTCTATCGCACAAGGAAGTTATCATGAATAACTAGCAAGCGGAGCCATCGCATCGGAGTAATTGTATGACACGTCTACTATTTGATGTGCTTGTGCACCGCACACCCCTTCCAAAACGTGCCAGCGCAGGGTCAGCTTAACCGTGCACGGGTACATATCAGACCGCTCCAAACATACCGGACTTCAGGTGTCCGGCAGAAATTGGCTAGAAGGCGAACGCGTCCCGCCTTTGACAATCCCAACTCTAATGAAACAAGGCTCATCTTCCCCCTGTCATCTCTTGTTGAACGGATGCAATACTTTGTTTGAGCCTCTTGGTGAACAAGTGGCTCACCCGTCCACAGTAGGAATCGGCGGTGGTCCGGAGAGATGCGTCCAACGGCTGTAGCAGTGAAGTCTCCATGTTCTCGCCAAAGGGGTACTGTAAAGGAAATTGCAGACATTATATACCGCCGATGCTTTTTAGCTGTTGACTCACATCACAAAGTGCATCCGCCATAATGCGCCTGCACCAGCAGCTCCACTTCGGGACTATTTGTCTGTTTTATTTTTGCTTGCAGTTTTTTTTTGTGCTTTTTTTTACATCTTCATAGAAGGTACAATGGCCCATTTGTAATCACATTCTGCATTTGGTTCCTTTTGGTGTGTCTGAATGATGAATAGGAATCAAGTGAACTGTAAGGGAATGTGCTCGGTAAGGTGTAATCGTATCGGTGAAAAGAACAGCATTGTACGCTCCTCCGGGTCCCTTTATTGTAAACAAAATAACAAAGCTGCTCAATGAACCAACCAGGACGAAACTTCCAGACAGTGCTATATAGCGAGAAATGATGTTGACGTTTGCTTGCATTCTTTTACTACTCTCCTGTAAATACAAAGCAATCGCACTTTTACGGCACCTCATTTGACTCCTGTTTGGCCACACATTAGGTTACTCAAAGCACACTTTCTTTATTATCTTTCATATAGCACCACAGGCTGTAAAGCACCATTAACGGCCTCGCATCGATTTTTATGTGGATGCTGCCGCTGCGTCGTCCGCATCGCCATCACGACGCCTCTAACTAGCATCAGCACTAAAGATTTTACAACTCTTTGGTGGGTCAGGCCGGCGTAATGGTAGTGCCCTTTATTGCACGCGCCTCTGCTGGATGGGAGAGGCCGCCTGGAGACGCGGGGCTGACTAAGGCACACTTGGTGGGAGGGAAATGAAAGTTTCTTCCGGAATTGCCTCCTGTAGGCTTTAGGAACCTGTCCCCGAAGGACTGAGTGGGAACAAATTGTGAGTGGGCTCAACGGGCTGGAGCAATAGGAAGCACTCATAAAAGTATGACATAAAACAGCTTGTAACCGGGAACGAAACGTTCTAAAGTTTCCATTCTTTTTTTTTTCCTTCTTTTTTTTTTTTTGGAACTCCGATCAGCTGACTGATGCTTGCATAGGAGGGCTGTACAAGGCCTTGGATCTGCCAACCAGTTCAATTTGTCACCATCCAGGATGAAATTTCAACCCTGAAAATGACTTGCTCATAGTTGGGATGAAACTTTGCAACCTGGAAAATGGAATTACAGTTTTGTTGAATCATTTATAATAGAGTGGAAAATGGAAAATTTGTCACATAGATTGTCTGTACATTTATCCATCCCTTTTCCTAATCCGCTTATCCTTACAAGTCTGACACTTCATTAACTTGCTTAGTAAAGCTGTGCATGAATTGGTGCTGACTCGAAGCGAGAAGTGACCTGGCCGTTAAAAACGAATGCTGAACCAGAATTTTCGAATTCGACTCAGAACAGGTCAGGCCAAAATAACAACTCGAACTGGTACGTAGTTGACAGTGTCATTTCTTTCTTCCCTCTCCCCGGCCGTCCAACCTCTTCTTTGTTGTTACCTTCACAGCCCCTCAGAGAAGTATTCTTTGATCAACCAAAGATCGTTGTCTTTCAAGAATATTACAAACCCAATTCCATTGAAATTGGGACGTTGTGTTAAACATCAATAAAAACGGATTCGAATGACTTGCAAATCATGTTCAACATCTTACAGGTGAGCAGGCTAAGTGGGAACAAGAGGGTGCCATGATTGGGTCTCAAAGGGGCTTCCCTGAACTGTTCAGTCATTCACAAGCAAAAATGGACGCGAGGTTCAAAAGCCAGCAATCTGTGATGGAATAAGGCTGCGTTAGTGCCAATGACGTGGCTAACTTACACATCGGTGAAATTGATCAGTTTAAATATGAAATATCTTGCCGCTCAGTACAAAACGGCGATTTGCGATGACAATGCAACATCATTTAGATAAGACCGCGATGTAGTGTATTGTGATTGAAGTGGTTGTGCCCTTTGCAAGGGCGCCGTGTCATCGCAGAAAGTCAACTGTGCTGCTGGGTTGAGAAACTATTTGATACATTACATGTGTCACGTAATTCAGTGAGCTGTTCACAAGTCCGCTTTGCACCGCGTGGGACGCAGGTTTACTCAGTCACAGAGAGACGGATGGCGGAGTGCTCCGTTATGAAGCCCGCTCGTTGACTTAATAGCTGAGAACGAAGGCTCGCGCTGGTGGCTGCCGGGCTAGAGCCTGTGGCGGTAATGGATGGAGACCGGCTAATGAAGCCTTCGCTGGTACTCCGCCGATTGCTGCCTGCTTGTTGAATGACGTGCCGGATTCAACACCGGCAGATCGGAGCTGACCCGTGAGGGCGGCGGGGTGAGAGTTCTGCGGCTAACTGGGTCTAACTGCGTCTCGCTAATGTGGCCGACTGGGGAAAGACAAAAGGGTTGAAACCGAATGGGACTTTAATAGGACTGTATTGGGTAAATAGGACAGGCTTTTTTTACCTCAGCCTGTCCTTTGGAAGGCAGCAGTGGTTAGCAGATCCGCCTCTACGTTCTCAGGTTCAAGGCTGGAATCCGGGCTACAGAATCCTGTGTAAAATTTGAACTTTGTTCCCATGCTTGTGTGGGTTTTCTCTCAAATACTCCAATTTTTTTTTTTTTTTTGCATGCAAATAATAAATGGGTTTTTTTTTCTACTTTCTCCCTCCAACTTTTTTGGGGGTGTTTTCTCAAAAATTCCCCAATTTTTTTTTTTTTTTTGCATGCAAATAATAAATGGGTTTTTTTTTCTACTTTCTCCCTCCAACTTTTGCTGCTGTAGATTATGAAGTTCTCCATTGTGAGACAAATAAAAGCTTTATTATCTTATCTTATTATCCCATGTCACCATAAACAAGCCTTTTCAGTTTTGGTAATTAAAGTCAGTAACTGTCCATAGATGTGAGTGTATTGTGAATGCGTTGACGGTCTATACGTGCCCCCGCGACGGGCTGGCAACCAATTCAGGGTAGTGAAAATGGATGGCTGGTTCTTCTTAACTCATTTTTGACAGCTCCGTTGGTAAACATTGGATGAACTTACTAAAAAAGGTGTATCTCCACAGGTAAAGCAAGCGTTCCACTAGTGCGGCTGATTTGTCAGGATTGGATTAAGGACGAGTCTACTTGTGAGTCTACTTTTTTTCCCTACTTTTTTACTCATAACACTCATACCAAGGTCGGATTATTTATTAGGTTTGTTAATTCTTGGCGGTCCGTACCTGCCGAATGGCCTCGTAGACGGCTCTAAACGCCGGCTGCTTTTCGTTATGGTAAACTCCCCTGCTACCGTGGAGAATGAAGACGCCATCTTTCTCAGCCTGCTGACAGTTGAGGCCATAGACGCAGTGGTCCGGACGGTAGTTCCACTGGCAGGGGAACACGTAAAGGCGTTCTGTAACAGAGCAAGAGCGATTCACTTTAATAAGAGATCATTTGTTGACCTGTCCGTCAAATGCATGTGCACCCACCCGGGTTGTGATGAAATATGATATTGAGAAGGTCCTGGTCCCCCCAGGTGATGTTGAGTTTATACTTTTGAAGGAGGGGCATCAGCATTTCACTCCAGTGAAGCGCAACTGTTGTCATGTCATTCTAGAAGGATTCAACAGAAAAGTCAGCCCCTTCAAAACTTTTTATTTTTGCTTCAGCTCCAGTTGCTCATTCTACCAACCCTTCATCTGAATTAAAGGAAACAGTTGCTTGATGGAGTGTCGGACAGAATGATGACATTGACCTCAAGTGGACGATTTTGGTAGTGCAACTACTCTTCAAACCTACCATTAATTTGACTCTTTCTGGGATAATGCAGTCCAGGAATTAACTGTAGTGTTCATGTAAATATGATGTTAACTGTGATATTATACATCATCTCATAACATTCGTATTTACAGCCACTTTAAAATGTAGGAACCTCCTTCCATTTTATTTATTTTTATGTAATACTGCTTATGCTCACTGGGGTTACTGATGAGCTGCCACCGACTTTGAAAGTGGGGCATTATACCCCCTGGAGTGGTCACCAGCCAAGAACGTGGCCATTTTATCTCCATATAATTTATTATTCACTTCCTGAAATAAATCCAACTTTACACCATGAGGGCATTCACCTTAAAAAAAGTTTCCCTGAGGCGTGTCATGTTCATGAGCATGACTCCTGAGTTGACGCCAGTGTTGCCATAGTAAGGATGGCGGGCGAAACGGTTGTACCAGCCGATACGTGGCTCCTCGTGCTCCGGGGCCATGGCAGCCAGCTGGCTCTTGTTGAACTGTGTGAAGAAGGCCCAGATGTCCTCCACGGGCTGTAGAAAAAGGATATCTGTGTCCACGTAGAGCAAAGAGTCCACCTCCTTCAGGATTAGCTGGAGAGAAGACAACAATGACTTAATATGAGGACAATTGGCAAATGTGTCCTTGTTAATGTTAAAATGAGCGATGAACCGACAGGTAAAAAGAGTCTTTGAGAGGCACATGGTTTGAAGAGCTTCTTCCACTCTTTCTCATTCCCGCTGGGGAAAGTGATGGGGTAGATGGTAAAGTTAAACTTCGCCTGAGCTGATCTCGGCCAGGAGTACAGCTTTAAAGAAAAATGAGAAAAAAAGAAAAACATTCATGGACAGTGTGCCCGAAATTCAGCAATAGACATTCAAGATATTCCACAATTTAAAACAGTTCCCAGTTGTCTTCATAACAGGATTCTTGACATTAGTTATTCAAACTTCAGCACTTTTAAAGCACTTATTTAAATTACTCAGTTTGTGTGTGTGACCGTAAAACCATCAGTTGCATTGAGATCCAGAACTATTCCGAGGCCCGGTGGTCTAGTGGTTAGTGCGTCAACCTCACAGTGCAAAAGTTCAATTCCAGCTGTCCCCTGTGTGGAGTTTGCATGTTCTTCCCTGTGCGTGCGTAGGTTTTCTCCGGGTACTCCGGTTTCCTCCCACATTCCAAAAACATGCATGACAGGCTGATTGAACACTCAAAATTGTCCCTCGGTGTGAGTGTGAGCGTGGATGGTTGTTCGTCTCTGTGTGCCCTGTGATTGGCTGGCAACCGGTTCAGGGTGTCCCCCGCCTACTGCCCGAGGACAGCTGGGATAGGCTCCAGAACCCCCCGTGACCCTTGTGAGGATAAGCAGATCGGAAAATGGATGGATGGAACTATTCCGACAACGGAAGATATTTTATGATTTATTTTTGTAAAATGAATACTTTGCGGATAGCATCAATCACAACTGAATTTTCACTAACCCTGCAAAAGGTATAGAGTATTTTTAGATACAGCTCTTATAGTGTATCTTATTGGACTATGTTAGTGTTTCGCTATCACTGGAATGGACACTCACCGCATTTCGAAAGCTGTCCTGTAGCTCATCATCGGCAAAGATGTGAAATTTGAGAGGCTTTTTGCTGAATATGATGGCAGACTTGAGCATGGCGAGCGTCTCGTCCAGCCTCGGGCCACAAGCCACTACGGCTATGTGACTGCTTTCATTATCGCCGTCTTCTGCTTCAGAGTCCATCCCGTCCCTAACAGCCAAGACACATTTATATTAGACTCGGTAGTTGTTCAGAAATCAGCAGACTCACACTGAGCTCTGTTGGGTTTTACTTGCCATTAAGTTTTGGGGGCGAGGACTTGCATATTAATAAGAGTGCGCTGCATGCAAAACCCTCCTTCTATACTAATGGCCTGGAAGGTGAAAAATCACCTGACTTGTTTGTCGATGGAGAGCTTATGAAACACACCAATTCTGCTGTTATTATTGTATAAAATGCGCATCTCAAAGAGTGGCACTTTACAGTCTCTAAACACAAAGCACAACACAGCAAATGTGATTGTGCAATTAAAGCAGCTTGTTAAAAGCCCATGAGGCATTTGGGATGGCAGCAACAGAACTTTTATCTCTCTGTGTGTGGCCACGAAACACTTGCAGTGCTGCTTATTGCAGTCCTAAGTATCTTTCTAGGAAATGCACAAAATCAGTCATACCTAAATGATGATTCCAAAAAGCAGTTCAGTCCACAAACATCAGCAGGCAACCTCCCAAACGGATTCCAGTAAGAGACTGACAATGATTTACACCTAACAGAGTAAAAAAGACCATCTTTTTGGATGCTTTTCTTAAACATTAGCAGTGTTGTGTGACGGGATTATGAGAATTAAAGGCAAAATGTTAACAGGTGGCGTTGGTTTACGGGAGCTAAAGGAATTAGCGAATTAATTATGTGACAATACACAAGATTACTGTCCTCACTATAAGTAAACCAGTGAACCAAATTGTATTTACTAGTAGTGAAACTCATACGTGTGTTAGGTACAGCAATAAATGACTCATGTTGAGTTTTGTTATATGATATCGTTTCGATATCAATGCCGCGTTTCCGAAATTTTGCAGCGTGTACTACAGCATCGGTAACTCGTAGCGCATTAGTTGTAAATTAGGCAACATGGCTAATGTAGCTTTAGCTACCTGACCAGCTGGGGAACTCGACGGCCTGTCAGTCCTGGATTTTTCCTGAGAACGTTCCCCGTGTCAGGACTCCCTCCGGCGGGTGTCCTCGGCTCGCCAAGGCCCCGCTCGTCGGTGTCCTCCAGGGTAGATGCGAGATGATTGAACACGTAGAGCGATGAAAAAAAGGTGAACGCCGAGCACAGGAACAATGCTCGCCGATAACAGCGCATCCTGTGTTCTGTGGGTTGTCGACAAAATGCCGGTTAACCTCTTCTCCCCACATAGAGACTGACTTAATCAAGTTAATCTTTCTTTCTTTGACTGAAGTTAAGGCAGGTAAGCGACAGACCGCGTTGCTGTGTTCACAGCGTCGAGTCCCGCCTACCACAGCGTTCACTCCGCTGCCGAGGTTTTTGTTTTGCAAAACCACAAATTATGCGATTGACAAATGACATTACAGTTGTTAACGTTGACATTTTCCCATTGAAAAAAAAAGCACGAGTAAATGTGGTTAAAGAAACGAACCAGCGCTGTAATAAACGCTGCAATTACAACCATGGCATTGAATTGACCATTAAAAATACTTGATGTACTATATTACAATATTGATTTTAGTTTGATGCTGAATGAATATACTTTAAGAAAGTTATGATAAAAATCCACAGGCTAATGCTATTTTAATGACTCTCATAGGAGAATTCATTAAATATTGCTATGCACCCATCACATCAAATGGGATAGCACGGTGGACCTTGTGATTGTCACGTCTACCTCGCAGTTGTGGGCTTCAGAGTTTGAATCTCTTGTTTTCTCGGTACCTCACCTTCCTCCCATAAAAACAAAAACAACAAAAAATGCATGATTGGATCATTGGAGACTCGAAACCAGGGGTGTCCGAGTCCAGTCCTCAAGAGCCCGTATCCAGCCTGTTTTAGATGTCTCCCTCCTCCAAATGATCACTTCATCAGCAAGTTGAGAAGCATGATAACGATCCTGAAATCTACTGCTTTTACTTACATTAAAAATAAAACTCAAACAAGAATGTACATTTATTTTAATTCACAGTATTTTACAATATAAACCATTCCATAGATTAATCATGCTCAGATCTAAAGTGAAAAAGTAAACAGTTCAATAGTTCTTACTTAATGTTAGGAAACATTTATTGCATCCAAAGATGAGAGCAGATAAGGCCAGAAGCAAAGAGTGGTATGACTGACTAATAATGACAAGGGGGCACAAAAAAAAATATCATCGTGAACATAAAATGCCATTCAAGTGCAAATAACAAAATTTCTAGCGTAAACTACAACATGAAATAAACTTCACATTGTCTTCTTAATGCATCACTTGTTCTTTGCAGCCACCACCACCAGTAAGATGTTGCCACCATGTGCTACTTATTGTTCATTTGCTCACTTTATCGTGTTCGATTTGGCTGTACCAGAAGTATCATCAAAACACCCGAACATGGAAGCCAAATCTAACACAAGGGTAGTTATAGTATTAACTAACAAAACATGCATGTCAATCTCTGGTTGAGTGCATTAGAATGGCTTTTGCCGTATTGGGAAATCCGAGGATTAGTGAGCATCGCCGCTGACGGACGAGCCCTCCCCCCGTGGAGAGGAGCACCGCGACGCTCCTCGCTCAGTGTTGTCGGAGCTCGAGCCGCTTTGATTGTGTATGTCGGCGGCTGCGGCGCCGGCGGAAGTAGACGTAGGTTTGGCTTTCTCCTTAAAGTCTGTGATTATTACCGTCAGGTCACCGACCGTAACCTCCAAATGCTGAGCGCTGCTCCGGTCCACGTTTTTTAGCCTTGGTCTGCAGAAGGGAAATAACAAAATACTGAATGAATGTGTTTCCCCAAACTTAACTGAGCCAAGCAGCATATTTCATATTAGAAACATCTCAAGGCACACCACCGAGCAAAAATGCCATGATCTCATTATAATGTTTTTACAGATTTGCTTTGTGTGAAATCTTGAATTGTTCGAATTGTCACTATGTTGCTGGCAAAGATAGATAAACACAGATACATCATCATTTGTTGTTAGAAAAAATAAATAATAATATTAATGATAATAATAATAATAATTAGTCAGAGCAATTTAGTCAAACCGGATTTTAAAAGTTGTTTTTCTGTAGTGGAGGCCAGACAACCTTTCAACATCCTAGTCAGGCGCAGATGGACGTGTGCTCTTCCACTGTAGAGTACGAACATTCGAGAATGAGGCCCACTGAACTAATACTGATGAATGTGGCTGGCATTAATGATAATAATAATAATTAGTCAGAGCAATTTAGTCAAACCGGATTTTAAAAGTTGTTTTTCTGTAGTGGAGGCCAGACAATTTTTCAACACGTGTTATCCTAGTCAGGCGCAGATGGACGTGTGCTCTTCCACTGTAGCCCCTGGTTCTCCCAAACTTTGAACGTCAATACAATATACAAACCAACAACAACACTGAATAGCAGGGGTACCAGATTCGCTGTGTAGTGAGGAGGTTACGGGCGACGAAAACGGGCCGGTACGCACGTGTCATGAATCCAGTGGTGGTTTAGTGTATCTGGTCAAATTGTGCGCAGAGTACGAACATTCGAGAATGAGGCCCACTGAACTAATACTGATGAATGTGGCTGTCAAATACCTCATCTTTTTTCCGCTTTTCTTCCTCAGTGCGAGTTCTCTGTCGCTCTTCTCCGATTTGTCTTTTTTCTCCTTTCTAAGCAGCGTGGGCGGCGGCGCAAATTGCTGATTTACTTGCTGTACGACCAACTGGGAAACGGGCCGTGGTTTTCTAAAAAAAAAACAAAAGGACAAGAGTGTGATGGTTACACTTTGGTGCATCTGCAAGGTAAGTACACCAGCGGGTTCACTGGCTTGTAATTCAGAATGATGACTTCTCTGATGTTGCCAATCAAACGTAAGAGTTCATATCTTTGCATTGGCAAAATTTTGGTAATCTGATTAAAAAAGTGACATTACCCCCATGCCATGCTGCTTTTTAGTTTCACCCTGAGATGGAAACCCTCAACCCTGGACTGTACTGTCAAAATCTTGTCCACCTTATCCCTTTCACAAACTTGGATAACAAGGTTCAACATTGTTCACCTGTGTTCCAATCTTGTCAGCTAAGTAACGCAAAATATCTGCAGAGGTTTTCCGCAGCCTTTACATAGTCTCAGTCTGGTTTAGTAGGCTTCAACTTCATGGGGAAGACCACTGACTTGATGGTTGTACAGAAACCCATCACTGATACCCTCCATATGGAGAAGAGGACTCAAAAAAACGTCAGACCACTTCATGCTTCTGGCTGCCGACAGCTTTTTGGAGACAATGATTTTATCTTCCAGTTGGACATGGCACCCGCCCACAGAGCCAAAAACTAACACTTGATTTGATAATAATAGAATGAATGCAATAGATTAAATCTTCCAGTTGGACATGGCACTCGCCCACAGAGCCAAAAACTAGCAACACCTGATTTGATAATAATAGAATGAATGCAATAGATTAACTTCCCTTTGAGTCCCCCCTCCTCCCGCCCCACACACACAAACATATATTGATGATATATTTAATATTTTTCATTACAAAAAAATAGAATACTACATTCACAACTCAGGAGCGCTTCTCGTGGTGCGTTGACATGTCATGGGAACAAGCAGGTACTTTATTTTGCGTGTCCAACAAAATGAGAAACATCGCATACAGACGGACTCCAGCGATCTTAAAGTCGTCTCGTCACGAGTGTAAATATGTTACAGGCTTCCTTTGTCCAAACGTTGCAAGACTTGACATATACTTACCGAGTTGACGTCCCTTTCCTGACATCGCACATCGTGCACTTGAACGCCTCGGCGGTGTTCCTGAAGGTGCAGACGCTACAGTCCCAATAGCCATCGTCGGCTGGCGGCTGCTTCGTCTGCCGTTTCGGCCTTCACACAACACAAAACAACAACGGGAGGCTGGCTGTAAAAAAAAACCGTGTGCGGATCAAGTTTAACCAAAGCGGCTCGGCACGAGTGTTTTCAAGTCTGAGGTCGACCAAACGAAGCTTTCAAGCACACAGCAGCGGTGCATTTAACAAGCTAACCGCCAAGAAAACAGTCGCGTTCGAAAGAGCTCCATCAATTTCCGACGCGGTTTCTTTTCGGGACTAGCCTGCAGAGGCGTCTTTAGTCACGTACTGTATTTTATGTGTTTTTTTACCTCGTGGGACTCTTCTTGTCACCCATCATACACAAGTTGCCGTCCGTGTGGTCTAATGGATCAAACGTTACCATTTAAAAATAAATAATGTCGCGGTTAGTTGCTACTCAGCTGTCGTTGAAACTCCGGTTGAGGATGGTCACGTGGCCGGTGTCCAACCAATTACGTTTGACGTAATCACAACAGCGCTCCGATGATGGCAAACGGAATGGAAAATACTTTAGAAAACACAACAATCCTAATTTATAAAATATATATTGTTTCAAATGTATTTTGTCTCTTTGATTGGCTATTTTGGTCTCCAATTGAGGGAATATGGCCACTTCCTCCGGTGTCCACCAGGAGAGGCGGTTTCCTCCAACCTAAGAAGCGGAGCAGACGCGGAACAATCGTGTTTTTGTTTGTTTGTTTTCAACTTTTTTAGGAACAGAAAATAGAAAAATAACGGACATGGGCAGACAAACAAAAGGCTCACAAACGTACACTAAAAATATATTATTAAGAGCACACAATTATAAAATGTTCTGTGCTTTCATATTTGTGCATTATTATATTCTTTTTCAAATACAGGTATACAAAATTTCAGTCTCTGATTAATCGAGCTACAAATGTGTGTATGCCATTTAGCCAACAGAATAATAAGATTAAATCTATGCAATATTTTTTAATTCGCCTATGAGCAGTCACTGAATCCAAAGAATATATTATCAAAACAAAATAAAAGATGTGAGGGAAATAATTGTGTCAATGCTAAAATTGTGTGTTTGGAAGTGATGTGGATGTGGCACTGGATGGGGGAATCCAGTGTTGGCAAAAGAGAAAATAAGACTGGTTATAATGCAAATACTGAATAATAGTAACAATTCTATATTGTTTCTTGAAGTCTACAGATCTGGTATTGGATAATATAAAACATTTAGAATCCAGATTTATACGAGTATGCATATTGTTGCTCACCCTCCTTCTTTTTCTCTTTTTTTTCTCCTTTTCTGGCCAATTGTTATTTGGGGAGATATGTTTGTCGTCACATGTCTGGTTCACACTCCATACCAGTAGTTGGCAGTATTCTATCTCCACGTTTCTCGCCAAGCGCTATAAAACACCAAAGGCGAAGAAAAGAAGGTCGTCATACGTAAACGCAGGGATTAAATGCCATTTAAATCCAAATACATGTGCACTACACATACAGTAAGACGTACATTTTGTTCGGCGAGGAGCTATTGACTCCAGTGGGTTATTTGGCCGTTTTTTCAGTGATGTTCCTCGTGTCGGGTTTTGCTACTTCCTTGTGCGATGTTATGCTAACTAGCTAATGGATGCTATTTGCCAACGTTGGCTCCCGCGCACTTCGGCATCAAAATACCGAGCGAAATCTACCCAGGATTTTGGTCAAGTTTGGTTATTGTGATCTCGTTGGAGAAAAACGTTGGGGGAATTTGCAACATCACCGAGACGAACATTGTTTGCTTCTCGGGTCCTTCGTACTGTGCTGATACATCACCGTGTCATATCGCAGTAAATCCCTACCAAAAGTAAGTGAATGTTTGTTTTTGTATTTGCACGTATCGAGACCAGCATGTGTTCCTACGTAGTGCATGCAAATATATTTTCGGTCTTCATCGAATTCATGTAAAATCAGTGTAGTTTTAAAACTATGTTCAAGTGTTACTTAACAGTTCCTGTACACAATTGTGACCAACGGTCAAATTGTTTACCAAGTCATCTCTTTTTCAGTGCCATTCGGACAAAGGTGGCACTCCATGCGTATGCGTTATGAACAGCGCTACGAACCAGCGGATACGAGAGAGGTAAGACGATGTTTTAATGGGTCGCATTAAAACTGTTTACATTTCTGTGTTATTGGTGGTATAATTGAGTAATAAAGCTATGCAGTGAAAGTCACAGGGGAGTTGTTTTGGTAAAGGGGTGTTCTAATAAAATCTCTAATTTTTCCCCCACAAGATGAGATGTTTCCAGACGGGTGCTGAAGTTTATCAGCTGATTGGTACAATAAGACACCTTGCGCAGTCATCGGACACAGTTCTAACTTGACTTTACACCAATCGGATCGGCTGGATCGGGATCAGACGATATTTTGCATTTTATGTGATCGACTGCAATGTTATAATTTTCCAGTTGATCAATGACATAATCGATCGGATCTACAAATAAGACCTAACAGGAAACACAGCCTTGTTCACTCTCACCTTCTCTGCTGCCATCATATGTGTACGCCTGAAAGCTAATGTGGAAAACCTATGTGCTGGGAGCCAGAAGTTCCTTGCCTTACTCTTTTTTTTTTGGTTCTGGTTTTAGGGCAAACAGGACACAAACGAGTGAGCATGCATTGAACTAAGAAAGCAGATTAAAATTATTTCTTTTAAATTATGTTCATTTCGTGATTACAAAAAAAAAATCACCATGACAAACGCAAGTTAATCAGCTAACTACTCACGCCCATGTTAAACAGCTCAATCATGGAATCTTTGGGCAAGAAATGCACATATACAACACTGTGTATTTTTTTTCAGGTGACAGTGCGCAGAGTGGTCAATATTTTTCAAAGGGGCACCTCCCTCCATCCTCCAGTGGAGAACTATGACACAGGATTTGAAGATGACCGGTGGTTTAATGATGACCCAATGTACACCGGCGAAGAATGTCCCAGGGACAATAATTACCCATCAGAGCGATACTTCAATGACAACCCCAATTATGTCAGCTTCCACAGGAACTCTCCACCCCATCACCCGGTAAGACAAGACCTGGATGGTTGAAAACAGTCATACTTCCACTCAATTCAGAAAATGTTTATATATTTGACATGAAAAACAATACAGTGAACATTTTATTATTTTTGTGATTTTTATTCCCCCCCCCCCCCACCCCACCCATCTCTTAGGAGCCACCCTGTCAACGCCCACATTATGACAGAGATGACTTGAGGCATCAGATACGCTCAAGGTGATTCATGTTATTTGCTTTAGCGTCGTCGTATCTGACCTTCACGTAAGACGTTCGTGGGTCCTTGGCAAACCCCGAATGAACCATTAATAACTTAATACACGATAGAGTATATTTAAAAAAATCTGGATTTTAGTGTTTTCATTTCCAACTGCCCTGTTTCTTTTTGAATAATGCATGAAACTTAGTGACAAAATTGTATGCCGAAATGCAGCGGTCACAGGTGCTTCTTTGAAGTTCGATATTTGTTGTTTCTTATGAAGGATTGTGCCACCTTGCTCCAAGTGTCGCTTCAAAGAATCGACTGCAATATAGAAAAAAAGGCCACTAGAGGGAGACAGGGTTCCACTTTATAAAAAGAGATTCAACTATGAGAGCGCCATGGACTACTGGAGGAGCTTTGAAGTGGGTGTTTGGAAAGTCAGTATGCACTTTGACTTTCACGAACAGACATGTTTAAGGATAGAATAAAGGGAGAACATATCTGTCCGGCATGTTCGTATAAAGAAAACATGCGTACCTCAGATGTTTTACATTGAAACATGCCTTTCATTAAACATACGGTAAGTGCATAGTGCCTTTCTGAACACCCTGTATAATTGAAGAGGGTTGCCCGTGTACAAATAGGTATAAAATGACACTGCATTCATTGATTTGTCCTCTGTTTCACCCGGCCGACTGAATGGTTCCCTAATACCTTAGTGTAAAAAAAAAAAATATATATATATATATATATATATATATATTTGCAAGTGTTTCTTTGTGACCCCGCTGCTCGTAAACCTCGAGGCTTAACCCCAGACAGAGTCGCTAAGTCCAGCTGTTGTTCAACCCGACGTCAACACACACACACACACGCACACACACACACTTCTCACCTCGGCAGCTTCAACATAGCAGCGGTTTACGCCCCCACCCACCCACCACTGGCAGTCTCCTTTTCTAGGACTCATACCAGGCGAGAGTGAGGGACAAAGGGCACTAGTGTCTACTCACTCTGCCAAAGAACCCCAGCATCCACCCTTAACCCCACCCTAAAAGAAAAAGCAGCCAGCCCCCGCCCCCCCCAACCCCTGAGTTAAAACACCCACGCGTACCTCGGATATTTTCAGCCACACACCTCAGTTATAGTCTTACTGCCATTAAATTGATGTGTTTAGGTGCCGTACAGTGCTTTGAGGGTTGCCATTTTTAGTGTGGCCTTATTGCAAGTCAAATCAAGTGTGGTGTACCCAATAATCAGGCCGAATTTGAGGATTTTCCTTCTTTTGTGACCAAAGGCCCAACCACTGAACGTCTATATAAGATTATCCTGAGCAATTACCTTTTGCTGCAGGGTGTGCAAAGAGGGATTCTCATTCAACCTAATCTCATTTTGAAATGCGGTTTATGTTCAGACTGAGGACTCAGGAACCAGGTGCCTGCGGGACTTGCACACCTAAACATCTGGATGCAGGCTGAACGTGGTGCAATGGCTTCACAGCTTTCAGCGGTTGAATAATGCGCGGAAGTGGGGTTGCCACAAATCCGGTGACAGCACCCTGTGACTTCAGCTCTATATTTGGGTCTAATTAAACAGTGCTTTCAATGGAGGACAGACACTGACTTGAAAATTGGTGCCGAGTTGAAAATTGGTCCTTTTACGTGTTCCAAGGGCCAAAAGTGGAAGATTGCCTCCATTCCACAAATTGATCCATGTGCCCTACTGGCGCTGAATTTAAATCTGTGGTTTTGTCTTCCACCCGTACTTTTTCATTGCCCCAATCATTATCCACTTTCCCTCCTAAAACCTGTAATGATGAAGTTGGGGAGTTTTCAATTAATTGTGAGTTCTGTTCTCATTCTCCCAGTTTGATCTTTCCTTTTGCAGCAGCCAATTCGTAACTGGTTGTACGTTGTGTTTTTCAGGAAAAATGGCCGACCTGGTCCATATTACAACAACAGGGGACGAGGCCACTCTCAAAAGTAAGTCCCTTTCCTTTTAACCGCAGGAGCGCTCAACCTTTTTTGACCGAACATCTACTTTTCAAGCAGCCAACTTCCCGCAATGGACCCATTACCACACACGCGAGCAACAGCCATAACCGACCCGAACATGAACACATTTTGAATGAGAATAAACAAAATATATCTATTGTAAATCTGAACTGCTCTGAACACAAACTGCAATTGGAGACTGCTGATGGCTAACAATTTCCTGTGATGCAGGTTATGTGCCGTCGTAGGTGAAAGGTCACCTTCTTCTCTACTTTATAAAGCGGCGTTAACTCTTAACAAAGCATTCTCATTACTGTGAGCGGTTTCATGCCTTGGGTTTGACTTGTTCCGATAAAAGTTATCCTGCTGTGATGCCCAGATACAAGCTGGAGAGATTGCACCCTGTTGACTTAACTGGGCTATGCTTCATTTCAGTCGAGAGGCCAATAATCAACTCAGGCACTCGCAGAATGTGAAAGGAGACTGGGAGCGCTCATCTGGGAAGAAGAAAAGCCAACCACCTGCTAAAAAAAACGTTTCTCCTGAGTCCGACAAAGGCTCTGCACACGCTCCAAAAAGTAAGGCTTCATTTCGGCGGCTCATGTCAGGCGATGGATTGGAGATGGCCACGTTTCCATCACTAAACATTTCAGTTCCAAATCAATAACGCTCATTCTCGTACAGTGGTACCTCTACTTACGAACGTCTCTTCATACGAAATGTTCAAGTTACAAAACGCCTCAAGGGGAAAATATCTCCTCTAGTTACGAAAAAAATTTCAAGTTACGAAGGGTAAAAATACAGGATAGGCCACTACTCGCAGCTCCCAAGTTTCCTGAACGCAACATACTTAGAGCTGCTCTGCCATTGGCTACTACCGAGCATCATCCTGGCATCCCATTGGCTAAGAGGCACCTCTACCTTATGTGTCTGTGTGTGTAAATAGATCTGTGTCAAAGCAGCGTCCTCGTCATTCGCCCCTTGTGCCATGTGGTGTTCCGATGGTTTTGCGTAAATGTGAATCACCCAGAAAAAGTGTTCAGCAGTCGAGCGATCGCTCGCTATGCTGATGTTTGCCTTGGACATTTTTCGAAGGATTGTTAAAAGCTGACAAAAGCAAACGTCCTTGGATCGGTATGTGACAAAACGCCAGGCAGAAACCTCTTCTGAGAGAGAACATGAACTAAAGAGGGCAAAAAAACGGTGAGGACGCAGTCAAAAGTTAAAGGACCATCGTTTTTATTCTTGTTTTTATTCTTTGTTTTTTACATCGTGCACAACTGTCATTTTTTGTGCAGCAACCTAATTGTAACATATATTTGTTACTATTTTAATGCATTTTTATGCTTTTAAAAAACATTTGTCTGAATTTTTGGGGGGCTTGAACGGATTATTAGGACATTTACATGGAAAATGTGTCTCTACTTCCAAAATTTTCTCGTGAAGAAATTTCATCCAGAACCAATTCATTTCCTAAATAGAGGTACCACTGCGTCTTGTGAAATTTTTTTTTTGATCTGCGTTTTTGAATTGTTTTATGTTTGAATATCCCTTGTGCTCCTCCTTCCACCGAGTCCACAATTTGACACCACACACAGCTAAACTGAAACTTCTCCTAGTTGGGCGTGTATAGATAAATGAATGAATAAATACAAACGAAACATCCAGTGACACAAAGCCGTTGAAGCATCTGTTTTCTGATGAGGCGTGGAATGCGAGGGTGGGGGGGGGGCACTAACATCACATGCCCTTTTTTGTGAGTTTGGTGGTGTGGGGGGGATATCGTTGGCTTTTTTGGCTTTGGCTTCACAACCCGACCTCCTTCATGAGAAAGTAGTTACCGCGTGGTTCAACAGTGTCACAGGGATCACTTTGTAAACTTCATTTCACGTGCTTCCTTGAGACTTTTACAAGATTCTGCCAAACCTGGTTCGAAAAGATGGTTTCAGTTGATTGGACACGGCAAAGGTCATTAGACTGAGACGGAGTCATTTCTTTGCTTTGATTGCTGAGCTGCGCAAGCATATTTATGTGCTGAAAATGGCGTTCTTTGTTGTGCCAAGCGTTTGAAGATGCAATAAAGTAGTGAGAAAACATTTGTACCTCCCACCTCCATCTGGAACACTAATTAGGCCAGTAAAGCATGCTGCAATGGAGTTCTGGTGAATTTTGTGTGCGTTCTTCTGGCTCTCATGCTCGCAGACAGGGGCAATGAATGAATAACCTTTTTGAAACAATTTTCTGACGAGTCGGCTGACCCAAGGTTCCAAACAACATCACACTCATCAACCCCAATTTCCATTCTTTTAATTTTGTCTTTCTTTAATTAGCAAAGCCTGTTCCGGAACCAACCCTACCTCCAAGTGTCCCTGCAGAGGAACCTCCCCAAATATCTTCATCAACCACGGTAAATCATCGCATTTGCTTCTTGAAATGACACACTTGGCTCTGCTCCCTGTCGGCATGTCCCCAAAACGCAACCCTGGCGAAAGAGTCGAGTTGTGTCTTTGTTTTATTTGGAAAGTCTTTGAAATCAGAACCGGTTTCCAAACCGTGACCTTCGTTACTGACCCACGACCTTTACTCGGCCAGGAAAAGCCCTGCGATTCTGTACCCGAGAAAGAGGAGGCGGCTCCTTCCAGGGCCGAGCCCGAAACGACCCAAGACCAAGAATTAAAGGCGCGACGGTCGGAAGCCATTAAAGCCAAGGCTCTGGAAATCGAAAAGGTAACAAGAGTTGTTCCATGATGAAAAATACCACGAAATAGTTTACTTAGCGGCCAATGCAATGGGTCCTATATGATAGGCCTGTACAACCTAATCGTACTTTTTCTGTGAGCGTGTCAGCCTCTGCTACTAAATGGGTTCATATTATTAGTGCATGCTTTTCACTTTGCCTATACTCAAGGCCACAGATCTTCCAATCTAAAGCGGCAGTTTGGGAGCATTTCTTGCTTTGCAGGACACCAGGTCACTTTCGAAATGATCACATTTTAGTGACTACTGCACTATAAACGTCCTCTTCAATTAACCTTGATGAAATTAGTGATGCTCCTCGTGTCAAATTAAGCTCTTGACTAAAGTTACGAATGTTTTCACCCTCTACTCGTCAAACACATCTGGCTGGTTGTCGCCATTATCATCCCGACGTTTCGTAGAGCGAAAAAAAAAAAAGTGTACAGTGTACAACACCACCTGCCCTCGACTTGGTTTCAAAATGCCAGTCAGCAAGGTTGCAAAGCCCTGCTATTTGGCGTCGCACGTTCCTCCTCCGCCCCTCGGTCCCTCCGCGCTGCAGTACGTGCCACTTATCTGTTCCTGTTCAAGCAGGGGCAGGAATTGGCCCGCGGGATGTCAAGCGGCCCACCCACGCTGTGGTACGTCTTTTGGCATTAGTGCGCACATGCTTACCCCGCCAGTTCCCAGCGCTGCCTCCAACGAAGGGTGGGAGGCGGCGAGCGCTCCGGTGCCTTTACGGGAACATCTGCCCCTCCGAGCTGTACGGATCAGATCGCGGGCAAAACCGGTGGGTAGCTTGTAAAATTAGACCTCAATTCTCATCTCAGAAACCATACGTTCTTTATTTTCATTCCGATACTCATCTGTTTTTCTGCATGTATTCTGGGGTTAAGGAACGGTCGTTAAACCTTAAACAAATACATCATGCCCATAAACATAACTGGCATGATTAAAAAAAAAAAAAAAAACCCTTCCTTCCACATGCCTCGTTCATGATGAGGCGATCTGGACTGCAGAACGAGTGATCATATGAGATAACGCTCTGAAAATGTCCATCCGAAACGCAGGATTGATTCTTCAAGGGGACTCTGCTGATGAAACTTAGCCTTTTTCACAATTAGTTGCCTCTTGAAGACGTTGGCTTCAAGAGGCAGCTTTTAATATCACCTAATGTGTACCAGCCCTCAATTAGCATGCTTGTTATGCAGGACCCCTGCCTGCCTCATTTGAGCCTCACATGCGAGGGGGCATATGTGTAATCTCACTCAGAGCCCCGATTTCCCAACCCCCGCACCCCGTCCGTCCCTTTCGTACCCTTGGGTATGTTCACAATTTGGACCTCCACAAACATCCGATTTGGGTTGAAGCCCACTTTTTTTTTTTTTTTAAAGGCTCCTCCTCTTCACGTTACCGCTCCTCTCTGGGCTTCTGGCCCCTTAGCGTCTGCTTTAAAGAGCATCAAAATTGGAAGACCTCCATGCAACAGCTTCACAGCATACAGGTCAAAAATCACCCTTTTTTGGTTTTGCTAGTAAATGCACTCTCACGTGTCCCATGAAGGGGAAGCACGTAAGGTCTTACTCAATTATAAGGTCCTGTTCCAGCCAGAAACTGTGGACCAAATACAATTTGTAAATCTGAAGGCACTTCACCAAGTCCATCCATCCATTTCCTCATTACGGTCAAGGGTGAGGGTTGTCCCTCACTGCTATGGAAACCTTCTGTGCTGACATCGGAACAAAAAAACAAAAAAAAAAGCCATCCGCTAACGGTACAGTCAATTCCTTAGGTGCTCACTGGGCTGAATTGACATCAGCTTTGTTGGACTTTTGAGGCCATCGTTTCTCGTCCTATTTGTCCCGCCCACGCTGTACCACTTTTGGGTTGCGTTCCACTTTGGAGGTTCCGCCGTCATTGCTCGGAATAAATAGGAGAATTTTTTTTTCCGGGAAAGAATTGAAATGCCACCTGAGCTTTCAGCTGTGTCATGTTAAACACTGTTAAAAATGACACGAGAAACAATCATCCTAAGATGTGGTTGCACACGCAGTGCGCCGCGTGTGTACCTCAGGGCGCTGAGGACTGTCATTATGCGGATCAAACGCATCCCACAGTCTGGGGTATTTCTGTCCCTTTGCGGCCAACTCGTCTGTGAGCACAAAGCACCTTGTTGGAAGGAGAGAATGGCAAGTATTCAAATTGCGCTGATAGCTGTAATAAACCCCTTCTCCTACCATTCATTTCCATTCTGTAATTTCCCTCCTGCATGAGCAAAATCTATGCCCATTAAAAAAATAAAAAAGTAGCGGTTTGGTATGCAGGGATGGGGTAATTCAATGTCTTTATGAACATGCTGAATCTAGTTGAGCTAAAGAATTTAAATCAGGAGATAGAAGCATAAAATAGAAGCTTAGGTATTTTTTGAGAAATGCCCCCCCCCCCCCACGCACACACAAGGTTATTATTTAAACTTTCATGAAACAATAACATGAACATGTGGAGTGCATATCTAGACACTGTATGAATAAATAAATAAAATATTTGTGCATATAAATAATAAAGCCAGCGGCCCGGTGGTCCAGTGGTTAGCGCGTCAACCTCACAGTGCAGAGGTCGTACGTTCGATCCCGGCTCCGGCCTCCCTGTGTGGAGTTTGCATGTTCTCCCCAGGCCTGCGTGGGTTTTCTCCGGGTACTCCGGTTTCCTCCCACATTCCAAAAACATGCATGGGCAGGCTGATTGAACACTCCAAATTGTCTGCACTGATGACTGTGTGCCCTGCGATTGGCTGGCACCCGGTTCAGGGTGTCCCCCTGCCTACGGCTGGGATAGGCTCCAGCACCCCCTGCGACCCTTGTGAAGATAAAGCGGATCAGAAAATGGATGAATGGATAAACAATAAAACCTACCAACCGACCAAACTACAGCCTTTGCCACTTGAAAATCGCATTCTGTGGCATTGCGATGTGGCTTTGAATTTGATGCAACCATTTCATGATTATTATTGCATCTTATTAAATTTTCCTCGGACTTGATTGGGGTACACATATACAGGTACTCTTAATCTTAATTAAAAACTAATCTTTATATCAACGATTATGCTGTGGTATCCGGTGTTTTAGTCTTTTTTTTTTTCTGCCCTCCTGCGTGATCTGTGCCTGGTAGTCGCATTATCTTCTTTGCGTTTCATTACAGACGTCATTGTAATTGTTACTGTGGTCTGCTGTGAGTTAAAGCTTCCCATAAATCAACTCCCGCAGTCGAAAGAGGACGCCGTTTTAATAGAGAGATTATATTATTCCTTTCACTCTGTCAGTTATGTGTCCGCCCCATCTGAAATTGATTATTTTTTTTTTTACAAAGGCTTTCCTGACCAAAATTCAAATTGATGTTTCCACAATGATAAAAGGCCTCTCACCAAAACTCTGCGCAGCGTTGTCTCATGAAAAGCAACGAGCGCTCGCGGTTTTCCGGTAACTGACACATCCCTGGAAGCGAGCCTTTTGACCGGTTAACCTCACAGTCTGCTCAAGATGTTGAACATTGAGTCAAGTTGACAAGCTTCAGCTCGCGGTTTTATTGTATCCCAAACACTTAGGCCGAGTTTATTTTTGTGACGGCGTTGCAATCAGAACATCTTGGGAACCTCAAAGGTTGACCGCAATCCATTCTCGGGCGAAGGTCAACCTTTGGTTTTTTCCGTCTTTGAATATCCCCATAGAGGGGAAAAAATGGATCAGGAAAATTCCAGGTTTCAACTGTCACCTTCAAAATAAAATGTAAAAATGGAACATTTACGGCCTTTATTGATCAGAACATGAAAAAAAGTTACATTTTGACATTTGTCTCTCATAATTGTAATAAAATAAATGTGAGTACAGACGTTTAAAAAAATATATGTTTCTTGTTTTGATGTTCCTCCAAGATGTCGTCTCTCATAAATGTAATAAAATAAATGTGAGTACAGACATTTTAAAAAATATATATGTTTCTTGTTTTGATGTTCCTCCAAGATGTTGTGAGCTCGCACCTGGGACACCTACAAAGATCTTAACGGCCGCTTTAGGTCGGCAGTAAAGTCCTCGGGGGGATTTTGAGAGATTGTTACAGTGTGCTGAGAAAGAATGCCGCAGTCCGACGAGAAACGTTCACACCTCGTGTTCTTGTTCGGTTGTAGGCCGACGTTCGCCTTGCCGGCGAACGTGCACGCGTTCACACACCTGTTTTGCGGAATACGGCACTTTTAGCAAGAAGGAGGGGTTCATGAAGTTCACCTTCTACGAGAAGCCGCGCTTAAATTTAAACAGCTGTCCGGTGCTCCACGCCGAGTTATTTTCTTCTCTGTGCTCTTCTACAGAGTGGTGGGAAGTGACGAAATAGAAATGAAATTCAACTATGAAACTGAACTTTTCATGCCATATTGCAAAAAAAAAAAGAAGAATACCTAAAGAGGGGTCTTCAAAAATTCTCTTAAGCATCCAGTGACGCGAGTCGTCTCTGCACTCTCCTCTTAAGCCCCCTTCACAGGTTTTCAATGCGCTCGGTCGTCTCGGTCGGGTGAACCGTTTCTACAATTTTTCAGGTTGATAGTATGCTTCTGCGATAAAAAAAATTGGATTTATTTTCAAGCGTTAAACATATCTTAACCAAGGGTGCCGATAAATATGAAGGGTACAATACGTAGGCAACACTGCAGCTGCAATTTCTTTGTGCTCAGAACTAATAAATGACGCCATTGATCAGTGGACGAAGACATGACAGCCGATTGCGAAATCCCCATGAAATGAAAAACGGGGCTCTCGATGAATTTTTTTGCACTGGTGCACCCAATTTTTTGTTTTCTTCGGTGCACCAGCACAAAAGTTATGCACAAAAACCACCCCACCCCGCCTTTTCCTCCACTACACCAATAAATATTGATTTTTCAAACCGTGATGTTTTATATTTGTGTCCAGCATTATAGACAAGATTGTGAGACATTCGTCACAGTGGTGAAGATGTTGGTGTCCAAGGAGCCCACTCTGGAGGATCTTCTTCACAGTGCCCTGAATGCAAACTTGTCCGAGATGAAACAGAATTGTTTTGCTGCCCTCAGGCACTATCTTAAAGAACTTGATGAACAGCTGGTGTTGTCGGACAACACAACTTAATGTGACCAACCAGCGGTGAGGGTTTCTTTTTTCTTCTTTTTACTAACACTCTTTCCGTGGAATGGAAAGAGTTTTTATTCAGTTGTCTTTTTATTTGTCAAATCCCTTTTTATGCTTCATCAGATTCATATATCGACATCAAGTTGGTAACAGCTGCACTTTTCCACTGAGCCAGTGTGTTTTAGGCTCCATTAAAACGGTCAAGCTGAGAGTGTTATTTGTCAGTGCAGCGAAAATGGCTGTGTAAATATCGAATTTATTTTGTGGTGAAAGTACAACGGTGTTTTATCTCGACAATGACGTTTATGATGCTCAAATCAAAGTTAATGCGGGACGGGAAACTTTTGTGATCGCAATATACAGAAGTATTGCACTCGAATTCGTAGAAAGTTGATGTATTTTAAGGTGACATCAAATTGTATACCCATTTGGAGTGCCTTGCTGCATTGATGACTTATTTTTCCCCCCATATCGTAGAGGGATGAAGCTTTCATGAAATTCCTTCAACTCACTGTATCTTGTACGTGATTGACGGTTAACCCACGCTACATTCTGACTAACCAAACAATGCTTGGTTGGTCATCCAACATCAACAGTTGTGCATCATATGTCATCAAACACTTGGAACAGTATTGCGGGACCAATCTAAGATAGCTACTTTAGTCATCTTATTTTCCGACATGCATCTGTGTATTATTTGAATTGAAAAATACTCAATAAATATTCGGATTTTAAAAAGGTACATTTGGAATGAAAATGTTTATTCGTTGTTTTTCATTTTGGCAGCCTGCTTCGGACGACGTCCTCGGCCCCAAAGAACACACGTGAGGACATTGTAGTGTTTTTATTACAATTATGTTAACCTTATACTCCAGTTTATACATTTATACAGATTACAATAGTTTCCGTACACACAAAAACAAACAAAAAAATGAGCACCACTTGAAGAAACGGGTGTTTCTCTATGACGGTGTTGCGCAAGTCAGTTAAACGTCACATATTTAAAGACGCAAATTCACAAGTCAATATATGTGGCACCTTCATCGGAAGGGCGGTGTGGGGGGGAGAGCGTACTATTAGTTTAATGTTAATGTCGTTTTGCTACATAAGCATGCCATTGAGCCAAAGGGTATTCAAATAGCCACTTTTTCTGAACTCTATACAGTATATACATTTAATATCAATATATTTACAAACCCATTTACAATGAAGTTGGGACGTTGTGTTAAATTTAAATAAAAACAGAAGACAATGATTGTCCCACCAATATTTAATTGAGTACTAGAAAGACAAGATATTTAATGTTCAAACTGATAAACTTTATTTTTAGCAAATAATCATTCGCTTAGAATTTTATGGCTGCAGCACGTTCCAAAAAAGCTGGGACAGGGTCATGTTTACCACTGTGTTACATTCCCCTTTTCTTTTAAAAAACGTTTGGGAACTCGGGACCCTAATTGTTGAAGCTTTCTAGGTGGAATTCTGTCCCAGTACAGCTTCAGCTGGTCAACAATCCGGGGTTTCCATTGTTGTATTTTACATTTTCAGTCGGAGACAGCTCTGGACTGCAGGCAGGCCAGTTTAGTACCGAGACTCTTACTATGAAGCCAAGCTGTTGTAACACGTGCAGAATGTGGTTTAGCATTGTCTTGCTGAAATACGCAGCAGCCTCAACAAAAAAGACATTGTTGGACGGCAGCATATGTTTCTCCAAAACCTGTCTGTACCTTTGAGCATAAATGGTGCCTTCACAGATGTGTAAGTTACCCATGCCATTTGCACAAAGACAGCCCCATACCATCACAGATGTCGGCTTTTGAACTTTGCATCCATAAACAGTCCGGCTGGTTCTTTTCCTCTTTTGCCCAGAGTACACGACACCCAGAATTTCCAAAAGCTATTTGAAATATGGACTTGTCAGACCACAGAACACTTTTCCACTTTGCATCAGTCCATCTTAGATGAGCTGAGGCCCACAGAAGCCGCCTGCGTTTCTGGGTGTTGTTGATGAATGGCTTTTGCTTTGCTTAGTTGAGTTTTAAGTTGCACTTAAGTAGCCCCAAACTGACTGAGAAATTCAGGGAACCATTGCACCCACCTGTTCCCACTTGCAGGATGAGCATTCCTCAACTTTCTCAGTCTTTTTTGGAACTTCTTGCAGCCATAAAATATGAAATTCAATTCTCATGATTATTTTCCAAAAATAAAGTTGATCAATTTTGACCTTAACCAGCTTTGCCTTTGTAGTGTTTTTAATTAAAGATGGATTGAACATGATTTGCAAGTCATTGTATTCTCTTTTTATTTATGCTGAACACAACATCCCAACTTCACTGGCATTGGGTTTGTAGATCATGTTTATTAATCTGCATTACTCTCAAATACTGACTGAATTTACCAGCAAGTAATGCCACTAAAGCGCACACTTGCAAATCAGATCGTATATAGAACAAGCATTTAGTGGAACACAGTCTCACTGTTTTTACAGGAGCAGATGTTGGATAACCCAAAGCAGAGAATAAAGCCTATGAAATAATACAGTTTTTACCCTTATGCCCTTTCTTCTTTTTGGATTTAGTCCGTTGGCCATAGGGGAGTGGAGACATGCCTGCCACAGGGCTGGGCAAGTCTTCAGTGTAGTAGTGTCTAAGTGGCCTTGGCTGGGGGATGGGCTGACCTAGGAAAAAGCCCTCCTCCTCCGAATCAGAAGATGATGATGAGCATGTAGAGCACCAATCGTCATCCTCCCCACACAGATCGAAGAACCTGCCCATGGCTGAGCCCTGAATCTTGTAATCTGACATGGTGCCAGCCGGCGGGTGTCCATGGAAACCGGGATCCATTCTTGGGCCCTGTGCATTCCGTCTGTGGTCCATTCCGTAGCCCATTTGGGCCCGCTCTTTTGGCAAAAGGTTAAGAGCGTTGTCAGAGCGAGACTTGCGGCTACGTCGCCTCCTGTGATGGTGATGGCTGCGCCCAGAGTGATTTTCCTGGCCCTTCTCTTCAAAGTGGAAGACTCTGCGACGGGTTCGTTCACTCATCGGGGGCTGTCGCACCTGGAGATCACTATAACGGTCTAACACGTCATCGGAGAATTTCACTTGCTGCTGTCGAGCTTGTGAACGTGTCCTCCTTAGGGCAGGGACGTGTGGTTTTGGTCTGTCCTCCGGGAGATGTGTCACCTCTTCTTCGGCAACATTTTCCTCCGCTTCCTGCTCGGATACAAGGCTCTTCAATGAATTTGTACTCCTGTGCAACATAGAGGAGTTGAGGGTCCCCATGTTACTTGTTTTCTCACAGTCCTCTGTCTCGAGCACGTGGAAACCTTGCATGGAATACACCAAAGGTCTGTCTTTACTGTCACCGTCAACAGAAGTTCCTGAAAAAGAGACATGGATTTTGAACAATCCTGCACAGAATCTGATTATTCCATCGAGATATAAAAATGGACCTATATTGCTGCTTACCAGTAATATTGGAGAGGGCCAGTGAGTCCATCGAGTCTCGGACACTCTGATCCTTCTTCTTGAACTCGTCTGTTATGCACTCCAAAGAGCCACGGTACCACTGCGACTCATCTTCCAGACTTGCGCCACCTCCGTGGTCCAGCTCAAGCTCTTGGATCTTCCTGCTGCTTGCGGGACCCGGGTGACTACCGTAGGCTGAGTCCCCTAGCCCGTCTTGTGACTGGGCCCAGTACATGTCGGCCTGGTACTTCTTGCTGGCCAGGCTGCCTCTTCCTTCTCCACCACTGCTTCCAACTTTGAATGATTCCTGTTTGGACTTGGCATCTCTATCTGCAACCCAAAAATCTGTGGGTCTGGAGTCACTGGCTTGTCTGAAGACCCCGTTTTCCCCAAATTTTAAGAGTAACTGAGTCATATAGTCTTCATGTTCCGCCCACTCTTCCTCCTGATCCTCGGGGGCATCAGTCTCCTCAGTGCGCGCCCTCCAGAAATGCTCGTCTGATAAGTTCATGTGGGTGAGCTTGTTGGTCACGGTGTCGTCAGGGTTTCCACTCAATCCAGGAAACTTGTAGTTGACCGACGGCGAGAAAAGGAGCGACTGACGGCACTGGTCGGCCGATCGGCTGCTCTTGCCCATGCGGACGCTGCGACGCGACTCGCGGGAGCGTGCCGACTGGAAGGCAGAGTCGGAGGAGTCTGAGGCATGCACATCCTCGCCGAGGCTGCATGCCTTCGAGCAGTAGATCCGACCCTGGTGTGGCAGGAAGGGGCAGCCCATGAGAGAGCTTTTACACTGGGCACAGCTGAAACAGCTTTCAGTGGCGTGCCAGTGGAGACCGTCGTAGGTCATCTGAGCATTGTCAACACCTGGAAAGGAGAGAATTGTTCAATGGATTGCAAATACAGTGGTACCTCTACTTACAAACATCTCTTCATACGAAATTTTCAAGTTATGAAACGTCTCAACAGGAAAATATTGCTTCTTGTTACGAAAGAAATTTCAAGATCCGAAAGGTAAAAATATAGGATGGGCTGCTAGTCGCAGCTCCGACTTTCCTGAACGCAACATACTTATAGCTGCTCTGCTATTGGATATTACCAAGCATCTTCCTGGCATCCCATTGGCTAAAAGGGTCTTCTACCATATGTGTCTATGTGTGTAGATAGAGAAATATGTGTCGAAGCAGCATCCTCGTCATTCGCCCCTCAGGCCATGAGGTGTTCCGATGGTTTTACGCAAATATGAATCACCCAGAAAAAGTGTTCATCAGTCGGGCGATCGCTCACTGTGCTGATGTTTGTCTTGGACATTTTCGAAGGATTGTTAAAAGCCGACAAAAGCAAGCGTCCTTGAATCAGTTCTTGACACAACGCCAGGTAAAAACCACTTCTGAGAGAGAACATGGACTAAAGAGGGCAAAAAACGATGAGGGCACAGTTAAAAGTTAATTGACCATCATTTTTATTCTTTATTCTTTGTTTTTTACATTATGCGCAGCTCTCATTTTTTTGTGCAATAATCTAATTGTAACAAGTATTAGTTCCATGTTTTGATGCATTTTTATGCTTTCGGAAACATGGGCATTTACATGGAAAACGCGTCTCTACTTAGAAAATGTTCTAGTTAAGAAATTTCTTCCAGAACCAGTTAATTTCGTAAGTAGCGTTACCACTCTATGGCGCGATTCAGTCCTGACAGCGACTTTGCTTTCACCAAAGGTAATTGTGTGAATGCCAGACAGACAAACCACTGCTCCTTCGGCACATCGTCCGAAACACTACAGAGTTTTCATTAAGAAGATAAAAGAAAAGATGGTTGCCTTTCGAGTCTTACCAATATGTTCTCCACATGCCTCACAGTACTCTGCGTACAGAGACTCGAAGCATCCACAGCAGTAGGGGCGCCCGTCCTTCATGATATAACGCTGGCCCCCCAGGATGGTTTCGCATTCAAAACAGGCAAAGTGCTTCATGTGCCAGTGACGCCCCTCCGCCTCTGTGCACTCATCAGCAAAAATGATCTGGAAGGCAAATATGTACAAGTACGTTTTTGGGTTTATTGGCTCTTCGCTGGCCGGCGCGGTCCCTTTGTCCCCCGCATCTAGCGGAGGTCACCTGGACAGTCATTGTGGCAATAAACCGAAATTACTATTTCCAATCGTTTCGGGACATTAAAATTAGGTGGAGTTCCCCCTAAGGTTGTCGCGTTGTGGTTGTACCTCATCGCAGGCTGAGCAGCGCGGTTTGAGGAGCTCAGCGTGGTGCCTTCCACAGTGGATCTTCCCATTATGGTAGAAGTATATCAAATCCACCAGAAGTTCACTGCATGTGGAGCAAGCAAAGCACGCCGGGTGCCAGCACAATGCAGGGCCCGACCGGGCTGCGAACACTGCCATTTCTCCACCGTTGATATTCTCACCGCACTGCAAATATGCACACATCATTACTTCTTTCACAAATAACGTGAAGATTGAACGGAGATACGATCAAATACAAATTTAGAATTCTCGTATTGAATATTGAAAAAACAGCTGCCTCTTCTGATTTCTGGCCATAATGTCATCGGTCACAGCTAACATCTAAACGGCCGCAACCACTGTGAATAGGATATAAAAGCGACGCAATCTCCAAGGAAAGCTCGGCCAAGGCTGTTTGGACAAGTTTTATGATCCCCTGATGGCCGAAGCAGTGTTGATTGTTAAATACTCAGAAGAACACTGTGCTGAAACGAAAAGACATCAGCTGCTAATTTAGCTCGCATGTTGGTATCCAAGTTGTCCTAAATGTGAAGATGATACTCTTTATTTGAGCACAAATAACTCAGACATTCAGACTAAAATTTCATCCTCCGGCATGTTTTATGATGCATCTTTAAAATGACATTGATATCGAATGCTTATGAATTCAATTATTCCGAGAGGCCAGTGAGTGGACTTGGGTTCTCCTGGGATCCACTTTAGTACGTACATGCTCACAAATGCTGTTCAGGCGACTGCGGGGCAGCACTTTGGGTGCGCCCCTCCCCAGGGCTTCCTTCTTCCTCTGGACACTGAACATTTGTAGCTCCTTCTTCTCCTCCTCACTGAGAGACTGGCAGTAACGAATCTGGCGATGAATGAGACCATTCTGAGTTATACATCGGACAATTTGTTCTAATGGGTTAAATGTTAGTTAAGAGCACGGGGTTGTAAATTTCAACGTGAACAAAAGCAACTCTTGACCCGAGCTTGCCCTTCCTACTCCCCTATTACATCTCCACCCACTGGCCCTGATTGACAACCTGATTTTTTTACAACAAGCCCTCTTGATCTTTTCCAAGGACTTAACAAGGGGCAAAGCAGATGTTTACACAAACAAGGGCCTCTGTTTAGAATGAAATCGAGAAAGCCGGCCACAAAGGAAAAGAACGAGCTGAGTGGGAGCGCGCTGTGCCACGACAGTGTTGGTGGCATCACAAAAAGCCTCTTACAATCAGGGTCCCTCTCCCCTGCTGAGCCGTTCTTGTAAAAACCCACCGCTATGACAGGAATTCAGCTGCCCCAGCCCCCTGCCAAACATCATAAAAGCATCCAGTCAAATGTTGCATTGTGCCCACACTACAAGATGTCTACAAGATGGTGTGACCACAATCCCACAGCAGGATGTCAACCAGGAGGGCAAGGGACATCGCTGCAGAACTACACTCAGTCGTTTCGAATATTATCAAGATACATTCGAAACTCGTCAGCCTGTCTTGAGCAAGGAGCCCTTTTGGGTCGAAATATTACTGTAATGACCATACACAAGGTGCATCGGCTTTTAAGGTGCGCTGTGAGCTTTTCAGAAAATGGAAGGCTTTTAGGTGCGACTTTTAATGCGGAAAATACGGAACGTGCTCACCAGTTGAACTTCTCAAGGTGCCACAGTATCGGTAAATTCATGCCAACGGTCGCGTTAGTCAAAAGTGAGCACTTTTGAGACGGTAACGGTTGCGCTGAAGGTGCAGTCGATGAGTGCTTACCTCATTATCATGCGGCGGTAGTTGATTGAGTAGCTGCTTTATTCGAAACTTCTCTCCCGGACTGTTTACATAGGGAATCTTATCCTCGGGCAGGCAGGAGAAGTACAGTTGGACCTAAGGAATTTATTATATCGGTATTACCAATAAATAGCTGCAAAATATTTCACTCAAACGGAGTCAGAAATATGTTCCACATGAGCTGTTGTAGAATGTCTTCTCTGTGAACGTTTTTCCCCTCATAAATCCACACTCTTAACAGTCCTTATGGTTCAGTAGGTCAAATCACGATGTTGTTTTTTAACAATCATAAGCTTGTCTCTATAGGGACCGGACAAAGCAGCCTGTCGCGGTGGCACTTTGACCTTTGGGTTTGACTACTTGGTGAGTAAACTTTATGAGGGAGGGGCCGTTACAGCCCGCCAGATAAAGAGGTGGGACGTGCTGGTGTTATGTGTTTGGGGGGCTTCCTGTAGTTCGGGCCGTCTAAAGAAGGGGAGCCACGGCAATTTACCCTGACAATCAACCTCAACATTGCCCCCCCCCCACCCCACCCCCTCATCTCCATCATAAATTATGCACATTTTGATGCTGCCACTACCCCCCTCATCCACCTCCCCAGGGGCTGCGGAATAGGCAGCTATGTGTTTCTTTACCATAACGATGACCCATAATGCACCATTAAAGGCAAGGGTGGGGGGAGCCACGGCAATTTACCCTGACAATCAACCTCAACATTGCCCCCCCCACCCCACCCCCTCATCTCCATCATAAATTATGCACATTTTGATGCTGCCACTACCCCCCTCATCCACCTCCCCAGGGGCTGCGGAATAGGCAGCTATGTGTTTCTTTACCATAACGATGACCCATAATGCACCATTAAAGGCAAGGGTGGCAGTAAACAAAGACATTACAGTTGACCCATGCGTTGGGCAAACAAAAGCCAATGGATTGCTCTCGGTCTGTGAACCCCTTCTCCTCGGGCCCATCACCCACTTATTTGCTTCCATGTGTGTGGTTTGAGAGCCAAAGCAGGATGAAGTTAGTTAAACGAGAAACTCGGAGAAGAGAGAAACGCACAGGCGGGTTTCGGAAATATGCCAAATTGCACCGGCTGCCCTCTGGGCTTGACTAACTGCCCTTGCTTGTATTTGTGTTTGCGGAGGAAAAGGCTTGTTAAAACGCGCCACCACCCCCCACCCCCAACCCCACCAAATTCCCGATCCTGCTGGACCCGCTAAGTCCTCCAAAACAGATCTCCGATAATCACAAGCAGACTTGACCAGAGCACAGTTCGTAAATAAAAACTAGACATCCTGTCTGTTAGTGGATGTGAGGTAGACCAACAAGCTCGCCTCAAAGCATGACCCGCCAGGGCTTTTCGACAGATTGTTGTTCATGGGTTTGAATCCGCAGCGACACGTGTTTAACTTGCCGAGTGCCACTAATGAGGGCCAAGCAGAAACCTGGCGGGACGTTAGAACGAGGTCAAGGCTGTTTTTAATCTCTGTCAAGAGGATACATCATTTTTCAGGGCGCTGATGTCTGGACTGATCCACACAAATGTATGCAGTACTTACAAATCCCTTCATTTTCACATTCGCAATGACATTTTATGTGAGAATTGATCAATAATTGTCATTTTGGACTGGGGTGGACTCCCACCCCCCAAGAAGTCTATAAATAGATGGCTGCCTATCGACAGTAGTGCCGCATATAGATTAGCTGACTGAAGAATTCAGAAACCGTTATTTGATTAGCCTCACCTGCTCAGGCCGAAGGCCAGGTGGCACCCAGGCGTACTCCTCCAGTGCGCAGCCGGAGTCGTCGTCCGAGGTAGAACTGCGCTGGAAGCCGGATGTCAGTTTGCTGACTTTTTGCTCCATGATCAAGTCTCGCTGGCGTGCCCCGCCTTGAAGGCCGGCTGCTGACGCCGCCACTGCTGCACCTGCCAGGCTCATCAGATGCCCCTTTTTACTAGACAGAAGAAGGTGAACAATCCGTGAGGTCCGAGAATCAAACCATTGATTTTCTGACAAGGCACCTTCCGGCATCTAGGGAAGCGTTTCCTGGTTTGCATCTCTTCTCTCGGTTTGTAGTGACACTTTCAGAGTGGTATTCATTTAACAGCCTTCGTTATTGGAATTGTTGGTTGTTGTGGAACTGACCTCTTTGGAAGAATTCCAAATCGTTCAGCCCAGGGACGTTGGAAACTGGCTGTTACGCTACCAAGAATTTGTTTTGTTCGTGGGTAGGACTGCAGTCCAAAGAACATTTATTTGCAGTTGTGCCCGATGTTGTGTTCCGTCTTTTCCACTGTACTGCAACCTAAAAGGGAGAACAATTCACTGGCTCTGTGTCCTTCTATGTCTCAAGAGAGGCCGCCGCAAGTGACCCGCACCAGCTCAATCAGTCGAGCCTGGGGTCTGTCTAAACACCGGCCTGACAATGGGACAAGGCCACCATATGGGGAATGTCCGCAAGGCCAGTTTCTCTCCCTTCATCTCTGCTTTTGCTCGCGGCTGTTTGTTTTCCAACCTGCTGCAGCCACTGTCTGATCCGTCCTTTCATCTCGCGAACGGACACAGAAGTGGCAGGCAGGTGAAGCGAGGAAAGAAGGCTCGACGGATAGCGACGGTGTCACGGAGGGAAAAATCTGGAAGGGAGATCAAACGCCTGCAGTGTTTACTGCAGCGGGTGGCCTTGCGCACTATTTTTACAAGCACGGCTCGACTGTGCGGTTGACATAAATAGACCAATAGATCAGGTACAAAAGAGCCATTGAATTCCATCTTTTGTCTTGTTGGTGCAACGTTGAAATGAGATCTGGTGTCTTTTAATTTTGATGTCGATTTGGTGACGGTTGAAAATAGACCAAAGTCTGATGAGATTTTGATCCGTGGCTGCAATGCTGAAGTATGTCGTGATAAACCTGAGCCTTTAAGCACAACCAAGAGCACGTTTCTAAATGGTTGTACTTCGAGTTAGCAGTGGTGTAGAACTTCCATGCAGGCATCAGACTACACAGTCGTGTTTCTGTTAGTTAGGTGATGATCATCTCAATTGATAGTTGGGTGCACTGAATGAAGCTTCACGAAGACACACATGCGATGGAAGAACGTTATGTCCAGTTGTGGCCGTTCTTCAAAGACCAAAGAGCTCTAGCTGAGATCAAATAGGAGTGCGGCCGGTGACCGGCAACCTGGGCCCTTGACAACGCCCTTACTTCTCCCTCCCTCTACCCCCACATATGGCCGACAAGGGCACCCGAGGCCGCGGCAGGACAGCTGACAAAACCAGGCACACTCGAACACAGCCTTTGAACACAGACGTGATCGTTGAAGAGTCCTGAAGATAAAGTGATATACACCGCCGACTAGGGGTATGCTCACATTTATACAAAACATGGATACCGGCTTTAAAGTCATAAACAGCCTGTCGACTCGACGTACTTATTTATTCCCTCTTTCTCATTTATGGTGATGTGCTCTTAGATAGCCGCACGCCAGACCCTCCTAGACTTGATTAGGCATTTCAAAATAACTCTTCTCTGCGACCTGACATTTCTCACTCAGGCTTCCTCGGTCAAAGGGCGTCAGAGGTGAGCCTAATCGATAATGTCAGCGTGCTCCCAAAGTTATCCGAAAACGATGGAGAAGGATGGATCAAGATTAGAGACAAATGAAGCTTCTTGTAATTCCATACGCTCATCCATTTTCTGCACTAATTATCCTCACTAGAGTCGCATGTAATGTAGAGCCTGTCCCAGGCGTCTTTGGGCGAGTCGCAATTCCGGATAAAATGATTTTGCGTCAATGGAAAAAAAAAAAAACAGTCAGATTTCATAAAAGACTGCAGATAGGGTGGTCGTCTTCATTTGTTTGGAAGTTGGCCGCGAGTATGCAGTATTCGGTAGGTTGGTACAGTACTTCATTGGTTCTCTGGGAAATTCTGGTATCCGGTACGAACGAGTTCATTTACATCTCATAACATGACAAACACATGAAATAGCCGCCTTATTGTGAGGCCTTTTGACCCGTGTTACCGAATATGAATAAGAAAGCTACCATTTTAACTCTTTGATACATTAGTACACTATTTGTGGAGCTAGGAGGTAAAATCTAGAAGAAACTGATGTGACTGCCTCGGTTTTGAGGTCTGCTCTCCACTGACGGCCAATCCAGTTTTGAAAATGTGACTGCAGCACAAAATGTCAAGTCAGACACCTTGGCTTTTATGACATCTCCCATTAATCACCTCTGATGCCCTCAACGACTGGCGCCTTTCTTGAGGAATTCGATGGTGGCTTGTTCCATCAAGAGCATTTTTTTTCATCTCCCATTTCGTCTTTGTTTGTTTTTGTTCGTCCCCTCCCGAAGATGTGCCGCGTTATCTCCTAGATGACACTTAAGGTCCACCAAGGCAGATAACCTGTCCTCTGAGAAGGGAAGAAAGATAGTCCCTTTTTCCGCTCACCCCCCCATTGACTTGCAAATTAGACCAAAATAACCTACAAAAAAATGCAGGCATGCTGGAGAACAGCGAGTGGGGAGCTAACTATAGGCCTGTCCGCTCACACGTTCAGCCATGCGCTTCATTAAGACGTTGAGGTTGTTTCGCACAGACGAAAACCGGATTCTCAGGATTTGCCCGACTTGAAGCTCAAATCACACGACAGGATGTTTGGCATCGGTGTTAGTCAAAGCCCCCTTCTTTTCTTATACAAGCACATCTGCTCACATGCTAATTTTTCCATGAGTTGTCATGCAGCTCATTTCCTCTCGCTTTAGCCTCCAACGCTTCGTTGAATGACAGAAGCACCGAGCCAGCTAACTTGGCCGCGCTCGGGTTGACTTGCCAACTCACTGACTCATCACTTGCGTTGGCTTTTAAACTTCCCCTCCGCCCGGGTGAACAAGGGGTCTATGTTTTCTGTCATTAGTTTTAAACTCCCACCTTCTCACCCGCGGAGCATCACCAAAGCACACCCCACCCCCACCCCTACCCCTGAACTGCCACCCTCCAACCACACTAGCCAGACCCCTGCCGTCCTGAATGTTAACAGCCTCTCGGCTCTTTTGTAAAGTTGCTTGTTAACATGGCTTTGGATGCTGCTAGCCTGCATATCTGACTGACAGAAGAAATGGGGGATGGGGTGGGGGAAAGGGGTGGGGGGGGGTGAAGTTTGAAGTTAAAATAGTTGGAGTGATGGAAACTCATCACAAATGTCCTGCGGTACATCCAACAACATTTGAAGGCATTAAACTCCTGAAAAACAAACGCGCCGCTTCTGAACCGAATGAACAAAACGCCCATTTCGCTCTTCAACGCATCATGTGTTCTCTTATTTTTATTTTTTTTTAACGCTCAAACCGCTCATAGGACCTCATCCTGTGTCGCACCAATAAATAGAACTGCCCCCCTTTGGCGAGTATTTAGCACAACACCCTAACTCCAAGTCATGTGATGTCCAGACACCCGAAGCATTGGCTAAACAAGCTTCAGGAGGGCTGCGCAGGATAAATAAGCAGCTTCTGGTCTGAATCACTGTCTATGCTCGGCAAGGAAGTGTGATGGACGTGCGCACAAGCCAACACAGTGCTCTCAGTCAGTTTGGACCGGCCCGGCATGTTTAACTTGGCTCCTACCAGCTCAGCAATGCAAGGCTCTACTTGACAAAGAAAACTTGATTTTCGGTTCACAACGTTCCAGAGTTTGATCTTGGACAATTCTGCTTTCTGCATCTGACAACATATTTATATACTCGGGGTAAATAAACAGGTCACGGCACAAACGCGGCAGCCTGTCAACACGTCGCTCTTGTTGCCATGGTGGGGAAAAAGCTTTGCAAACTGGAAGAATTCAAAGACGGTTGCATCATTGTGTATACCCGAACATTCCAGAATAACAATTCGAAATGGCCTGACCAGGGGACCAGACAGACTGTTTGGTCTGACCCTTTTTGTGGTCAGGGGAGTGATTTTCCAAGACCAAATGGATGGGAGTGTCATCCCAACCAGAGAGACCACCTGCATGTCCCGGACAGGATGAATGAAGACACACATATGCTGCCATCACTTCATCCCAGTCGATTCACTTTGGACTGCCCAGAACTAGAGACTAGAACCTTTGACCCAACCTCAAAGGAATGCTTGAAGAGACTTGTTCACTTTACAGTAAATATTCTCTCGTAAGGAATCATATTTGCGCTGTCCAATCCTTCCTTATAAAAGAATTTCCTGATGTGGGAAATGAGCATGGTACATGTCCTTTATGAACATGCAAGTACTGCACTCCTCACTTTACTGTTTTCTCTTTTCCCGTCGCCCCAACCGAAACTGAGAATCTCTTGAGCTCACACAGTCATCTGTCATTTCTCTTACCTCAGTTCAGGCCAGCTCTCCGACTCCTTCCTTAAGCAGGAAAAGGGGATCTTATCAAGCAGTCTGTCCTAGTTTCTTCTGCAACTCCCCAGCTCGATCGGTACCGCACATGATGATCCTCAACACTCTTATTCCAGAGCACGAGTCGGCACAGTGCCGGCAACATGTCACAGGACCGGAGGTATGTGAGAGGTGCGTGTATATGCAGGAGCGCAACCAGTTGGCCATCCCATACCCATGTCTCTCCCACTCCACCCCCCACCCACCCCCTAAACTCGGCCCAGCCCCTTCACCTCGGAACAGCCAGTCGCAGCATGGTAATGCCTCCTGTTGACCCACCCCTCGTACTTCAAACACCGGTTCCCAAATGAGAAAAGCGCCAGTCGGCGGAAAAGAAACGTGAATCCTGAGGAGCACGTCACTTACACAGGAGCTCGTTTTACCTCACTGACCGCTTGCTTACCTGCAATGGCTTTTGCGTGGCATTCTTCTTTATGCTATCGCAATTCAAAGATGAGGGGAGAGTGATGATGTTAGTTGGGATTTGGTTGATCTCGTCACGTGAGCAAAAATGTCCTTTAATCACAGGAAGGC